CCTCCCACGCCTTTTTCAAATGCATCACATCACTGCCTCCTGCGCTCTTTCACGGGGACATGAGGCCTCACCTTACGCTCTCCTCACATCTGGCGCTGGTTCGGGGCCAGGGTCACGCGGCGCTAGCGCTCGCTCTCCAGCCTGCGGTGCTCGGCTGTGACGGCGAACATCGGGCCGTGTCCCGGCACCACGAGGTCGGCCTCGGCCAGCACGCGGCGCCGGTTCGCCATCTGGCGGTCCGGGTCCTGACTGCCGGCCGACCGCCACAGGCTCGGGTCGCGTATGTCTTCCTCCCGCTCAAACAGGTCGCCTGCAGTCACGGGCCCGGGTCACGCATGGCATCTGTGGGCTCACGTCGGCCACCTGAGGTTACTAATGGGGCCGTGCAGGTCACCTGAGACCGGGGCGCCGCAAGGGTCACCTGAGGTCACATACTGGGGCCGAAACGGTCACCTGAGGCCACAGACTGGGGCCGCAACGGTCACCTGAGGCCACAGACTGGGGCCGCAACGGCCACCTGAGGCCACAGACTGGGGCCGCAACGGTCACCTGAGGCTACACACTGGGGCAGCAACGGCCACCTGAGGCCACAGACTGGGGCCGCAACGGTCACCTGAGGCTACACACTGGGGCCGCAACGGCCACCTGAGGCCACAGACTGGGGCCGCAACGGTCACCTGAGGCCACAGACTGGGGCCGCAACTGTCACCTGAGGCTACACACTGGGGCCGCAACGGCCACCTGAGGCCACAGACTGGGGCCGCAACGGTCACCTGAGGCTACACACTGGGGCCGCAACGGCCACCTGAGGCCACAGACTGGGGCCGCAACGGTCACCTGAGGCTACACACTGGGGCCGCAATGGCCACCTGAGGCCACAGACTGGGGCCGCAACGGTCACCTGAGGCTACACACTGGGAACGCCCGGGTCACCTGAGACCACATACTGGGGCCACACGGATCATCTGAGGCCTCAGACTGGGGCTGCACGGATCACCTGAGGCCACACACTGGGGCCGCACGGATCACCTCAGGCCTCAGACTGGGGCTGCACGGGTCACCTGAGGCCACAGACTGGGGCTGCACGGATCACCTGAGGCCACAGACTGGGGCTGCACGGATCACTTGAGGCCACAGACTGGGGCCGCACGGATCACCTGAGGCCTCAGACTGGGGCTGCACGGGTCACCTGAGGCCGCAGACTGAGGGGGTGTTGGCTTTCTCACCACACCGCAGAGAGGGTGGAGTTCCAAGGTCAGGAGTCACGCTCGCAATGCTCGAACATAAGGCCGCATCAGGTTATAAACTGGGGTCACACTGACCCTCCTAATCCAACAGTCTACATCGGTCACAGCAATGTCATAGGTGGCACTTCCGCTCGGGTGAGACGCGAACGTGGTCGCAGAGTGTCGGGTCGCAGAGTCCAATACCAGCCAAACAGGTTTGTCAAAAGGGATCACCCGCTGGGGCCATTCAGGGCCTCTCTAAGGTCATCCGCGGGGGCCAACCAGGGCCTCCTTAAGGAAGTCACCCGCTGGGACCCTCCAGAGCCTCCTTAAAGGGGTCACCCGCCGGGACCAACCAGGACCTCCTTAGAGGGGTCAGCCGCTGGGACCATCCAGGGCCTCCTTAAGGAGGTCACCCGCCGGGCCCACTCGGGCCCACTCCTTATATAAGTCGTATGAGGATACATTTTCGGTGCTAACATGCTGAAATTAGAGAAAGGTCCCACGTGCATCAATTTGGATCACAAGACAATAGGAGAAATATATCAAATGGAGGGGAACAATTGACTACGTACGTTGACCGATGCCTCATTCATTAACGTCTGATGCCCTTACGCCCCCCTGACACCTATAACACGCCCCTTCTGCCAGGGTGAGAGGCAGGTGACGCCGGATAGTCTAAGCAGCTGAGACCGTGTGCGCCGTAAAGCTTCAATGACGAGGACATCAAACGCCCGCCCCGCTAGACGCGTTCAGGAAGTGAGCAAGTGCAAATGCATGAACGGAAGTCGTGCCGTCTGCCGTGACGATACGTCAAAGCACGCGTGGAACACAGGCATCGAAATAAATCCGGACTTCGGGCTTCGAAGTCAAATCCAAAGCTAAGGCAAGGGCATGGATTTGAACTCTGCACACATGGGGCCAAAGTCGGGCTCAGCGCTTTTGATTTTAGAAAACGGAAAGCTAAAGCGGACCAACAATTAAAATTACGAGGCCGAAGCCGAAGCGGAGTCAAGTGCACAGCGTTGTTGTAGGAAAATTCAACCACTCCCGCAGTGTTTTGGGAATATTAAACTCTTTTCGCAGTTGGCTAAAACTGGATGGAATCGGACAATGTCATGGAAAGACTCTGCAAACCGAGTTGGCGGTTTCGTTAGCATTACCGACGATATTCTTAGAAACGTCGTTCTCGTCTGGCGTGTCAGTCTGTGCACAACTCATCGGACAGTTCGCTCCCCTGCCATCGTCAGCCGTTCATTGGTCCTGGAATGGCCGGTTATTTGGGGGTCTCCGACCATGTACACGTCGAAGCTTCGACAAACTGTATCGCACATCGCAGTGTTTTGACGGCAGCAGTCTTTTTTAGGCAACGTTGCGACTGCAGCAAACAAACCACCACGAGAAGGCAGAAGCCACCAGCTCAAGATCGCATGCAATCGAAATTGCAGTCCTCATAAAAATAAATTTTCAGCCAAAGCCAAAGCCATCTCTAAAAACGACACAAAGCCAAAGCCTGCCGTTTGAAATGAAACAAGGTCGAGGCCGTTCAACCGTCGAAAATGACCCAAAGCCGAAAATGGCGACTTCGCGACTCCAAAACCCGCCTCATGCCGCTGCCTGATGGGCTATGACGTGGACCTGTTAGCGTACAGCCGGAGGCGTGCAGTCGTCTCGAATGCCGTGACACAGCCGTGCCAACAGTGCCCCGCGATGGGACCACTGTGCCAGTGGCGCGGGCCGGCGCCGCCCTCACGGCGCTGGCGGACGCCGCCCGCGGTGCCGCACGCTGTACCGGCGATGATGACCAGGCCCTGGTGGCGGCTCCGCACGCGCACGCTGACGTCCTCGCTGGTGTGGCCCGGCGTCGCGATCACGTCCACAAACTCGGACAGCTTGTACGGCTCTGCGGACGGGCGCAGAGGCGTCACAAACCAGGGGAGCAATGCTGGGTTGCCACAGGTGCCACCGACTGTTGCATGGTTTGACGGCTTTGGAGGACATGAAACAAAGGAAACTGTTAGCAACGTAGTCTGTGTCTGAATTTAGCATCAGTGCCTTTATCCAAGATGGTGGATGGATGGCCACCACAGTCCCACCAGAATCAAAGTCGTGCAGCGTGAAGACGTCCCGCCGGGAGACGCACGTGCCCACCACATGGGTGGCTGCCTGGAACAGGTTCAGGTTGCCCACATGATCGCAGTGTCCGTGTGTGGCGACAGCATAGCTTATGTCTTCTGGCTGGAGACCGAGCGACGACAGGCCTGCCGACAGTGTCGTCATGTGACATGCATTGCTCCTCAATATCAGATGATCATAGCCCTGAGAGAAAACAGGTACATCAAGGGTGTTTTCTATCATCACAGGTCATAGCTTATTTCAGCCACTGCTTGCCTCAGGGACCATCAATAAGATATCACTATTAAGTGTGGGTAAGCAAGGTATTGAAGGATACCTGCACCAAGAATCTGTAATCATTGGGCTCAGGCTTACCCTTAATAACTATCCTTCATGCCCATCATCAATGATTGTCATCCATATTCCAGAATAAAATTCCACTTGCTACACAAGCCTAACTTGCTGGTAATCACAAAAACAGTTATGAAGCGCACAACATTGGCCATACTCCACATTCTTCAGAATCCTAGATTTAGAGGCCTATGACCTACTAGTCATTAACCAAAACCCATGCAAGACCCAAAGCCGGGGTGATCTGGTTCATGAAAAGCTCATAATTAATTGAAACTCGTACAAAACATTTACCAGAGACCCTGTCACAAACACAAGATGTCCATAAACAAGCTAAAGCACACAGAACATGTTAATATAGGACCTGTAACTTTTGAGAATTCACCATTTGCAGATATAGTTTGATATAAAAATCATTACCCACTCATGTATCCAATATATAAGACCTGCACAAAGCTTCACCTGGTCCATGCAGATATAAGCACAATAGCATTTGAAGACTACGTATCCACAGCTTACAATTCTTAGAAAGCACTTCATGTTGGCATACCTTGTTAAGTTTCATGGAAGAACTATGAAATGATTCTGAATTTTTTGCATGGAATCAGCTGCTACCCTATACATGTTACACAAAGCATGTTTTATAGCATACTGGGGCACTGTCATCACAGATCATCACACAGATACCTGTAAAATTAGCTCATTACACACCTGCTTGCATTCCAACATTCTTCAAGGGCAGTGTTCAATTTTGATATTTACGCTGTCTTTTTAACGTCAATGTATTTACCTTGCAGTACCTTTTCTGCATCCCAGGCAGTCATGGTATCCACAATAATGTGTGGAGGTCCCTCCACAACGGAACAAGTGCAGTTTGCTCGCATTGATTTCCCGTCACCCTCTAGAACAGAATATCCATCCACAAGAACGTGCACTTTCGGGGCCGACATTTTCGATGTAGTTGCTTATATCCAGGAAATATGTGGCTAACAAACACAACGCAACTAGCGTGATCTAATAAAACGATGGCCAGCGCGGCAGAACTTCACGTGGACAGAATGTCGTTCATGCGCCAACCCTAGCACCTTGGCGCCCTTGTTGGCGCCAACAGGTTCAAGAAGGAAGGGACAAAACAGTTGACAAAGCATGTTGGTATTCTCGTGCCCTGGGCTCACGGAGCCGGTGAGCACCAAGCGTTTACCACTCGATGACGCTTGGTCCATGTCCTGTCCGATGCAGTACCGCAGGCAGGGGGAACGCGCAGGGGCGTGTGCCACCCCTGGAACCTACGATTAAGGGCCCGAAAGGCCGGCCGGAGGTCCTATTCAGTGGCCCTGGCTCGCACGGCCGGCACTCTAATGCCAGGCAGAGGTCCCTGCGCGCTGATCAGTGGCCCCTCGAGTCGAAAAGGGCCTATGTGTCGGTCAGACACCAACAGTAACGCACAGTCGGCTCCGTGGCGGCATGAGCGTGAGGGCCTATTCGCAACAGGGACAGAGCTGGAGCCAGCGATTTACATTGGTCTGAGCCCGAGTGTCCGTCAGTGCCTCAGTGTCAATCAAGGCCCCACAACGCCTAATGGGGCCTGTGTTGGTTGGTTAGGTTAAAACATGTTGATATTCCCACGCCCTGGGCTCACGGAGCCGGTCGGCACCAAACGTTTACCACTCAATGGCGCTTGGACGATATCCTCTCCAATGCGGTACCGCAGGCAGAGAGGGAACGCGCAGGGCACATGCCATCTTCGGGGCCTACAATTAAGGCCCGAAAGGCCAGCCGGAGGTGGTATTCAGGGGCTCCGGCTCGCAGGGCCGGCACTCTAACGCCAGCCAGAGGTCCCTGCGCGCTGATCAGAGGCCCCTTGAGTTGAAAAGGGCTATAAGTCGGTCAGACACCAACAGTAACGCACAGTCGGTTCCGTGGCGGCATGGCCTGAGGGCCTTTTTCGCAACAGGAATAAAGCTGGAGCCAGTGGTTTACATTGGCCCCGGCGTCCATCAGGGCCCCAGTGTCTATCAGGGCCTTACAGCCTGTGTTGGCAGGTGGCCCCGATTCGGCCGAAGGCAGTGTTCGAGGAGGCCCGAAGAGCCTGGAAGGTCCACTGGCTCCTGCAATCATGGGCCCGATTGGAGGGTCTTACGGCACGAAGAGTTGATCGAAGCCTTATTGAGGAGCCCCGGCCTGCGGGAACGTGTCCTCAAACAACAGTCAGATGGTCATTTGCGCCGATCGGAGATCTCTGGCACCACCGGTTTCGCCTAGTTGGCTTCGTGTCAGTGTGGGCCCGAGAGCCCACTTTCTAATCAGCTTCAAAGCCGGAGCCAGTGATCTACACTGGCCGGGGCCGCAGGAGGTTTACAGGGCGCCTAATAGAGGGTCCAGTGTTCGCGAAGGGCTCCGAGCCTACCAAGGGCAGTCTTCGATGAGGCCCGAAGAGGGGCTCGGGCGGCCCGCCTGAACCGACCATCCAGGTTTATTAAGGGCTTTGAGTGCATGAGGCCCGGAAGGACTAGTTGTGGGTCACATAAATAATCCGGCCCGTAAGGCCGTGACCTGAAATATTCGTGAACGGCCTTCTTGGAGCGTTTGAAGACCTCCTGAAACCATGCGGCTGTCTAAGTCGGCCAGAGACCAGTGAAACTGAGCAGTTAGCTCGCTGTTAATTTGAGCCCAGGAGGCCCATTTCCCAAGCAGGAATGACAGGCACTGGAAAAAATCAGGCTATGAAGACCTGGGTTCGCGATTTGCAATGCTCGAGGTCCTTGACACAGTGAGGAGTTCTTGTGTCGGTCATGGGCCACAGTGCCTAATAGAGGTCACGTGATGACAAGTGACCTTGAGTCAGCTGTGAGTGGTGTTTGAGGAGGCCAAAGAGGGGCCAAAAGGTCTCGAGACCAAACATGAAGGACCCGATTGGATGGCTGAAGGGCCGAGTGGGCTGGCTGTAGGTCACATTAAGGAACCCCGTCCGTAGGGCCGTGATCTCAAATGTCAGTAAGAGAGCCTCCTGCACGGATTGGGAACCCCTGAAACACAGTGGTTTTCAATTTCGCTCAGAGGTCACCAACACCCCCAACAGTTCCTGCTCCGTGTCAGGATGAGCTGTCGGGCCCATTTTCCTAGCAGAGACAAAAGCGAGCCGCGATCTACATTGGTCGCGGCTCCTGCAACAGTCCGGGCTCCCTGTATCGGTCAGGGGCCTACAGTGTGCTAATCGAGTGTCCGGTGTCATCAGGGGACTCAAGTCTGACGGGTGAACATTTGATGAATGGGGACGGGAACGGAACCCCGAACACTAGAGGGCCTCTGTGTTGGCGGGGCCCTCTGTAAATGAAAGGAAACCTGAGAACTTGATGAATGAATGATGATGAATGTTCACATTGAGCCAATGGAAGGGGCCTTTGTCAGCCAGGGACCAAGTACCGAGCAATAAGTCTTTCAACATTTGCAAGCACTGAAGTCCATGTGACAATATAGGACCACCTGCAGCAATTGGGAATGTTGTTTAGTCAATCAGGACCCTGCGTCTATCCGGAGTCAACAGCGCGGGTTAAAAGACCTCCAGTGTCAGGAAGGGAACGACGTGGCACTGATGGCATCCCTCGAGGCTTCCGGATAGACCAGGAGATGCCGTCCGGCGCCCCGTTCGCCAGAATGGCGCCGAAAGACGCCCCTCGGTGGGACAGAATGGCTCTTCAGTCCTTTACCGGAAACAATAATGTGTCCCCTAGGTTCTTCTCAAATGGGCCCCTTGCGTGCAACGAAAAAAGGGTGTCATTGTTGTTGAATAGGGTGGGTCGAAATGAGTTAAAAAAACGAACCAAGCCCATCCCGTGCACGCCTGAGAACGTTCATTCTTTTGCTAAATCCATTAGTGAAACAATTAATATCAGAGGGTCTGAGCTTGTACGCCCGCAATATCAGAAACAGGACGGCGATGGCCTGGGTTGCAGCTTTGGTGTAACGCGTAAACCGAATACGCGTCGGTACCCGCGCAATTGTCAATGTGTCAGCGGGACGCCTCGGCTCGCTAACGAAACAACGCACTTAGAACGCCTCGTTTGACGCAGGCGCATTGCCCTGTTTACTCTGTATGATAATCACTTGATAAGCCGGGTGTGGGTACCCGTAGCCGTAGTTACTTTTTGCAAGGGTTGCGACGTAGCGCGTCCTCTGTTGCTGCTTCATGCGGGCTCACATGCGCATTAGAATTGCACAACGTCGAATGCTCGAGAAACGCCCCATCCCCAGTGCTTGGAGGCCGCACGACGGCGCCCCCCAGCGGCCCCACCGTTTATCACCTGACGCATCCCGCGTAGCGTCAGACGGGGAGTGACGGTCAGAGAGAGGCGGACGCGACCCGACGACCAGTGTCGTGCCGCTGCACTTCGTGAAGGGTACCTTGACCGAATATAGTTACCTTTCACTCCCGTTCTCTGATGGATGTTGGTGAAAGGAAGAAACGGTGCCCACAAGACCAAAGCGTTTACATTGGTGCCGTGACCCGGATCAAGAACCTGCGGATTATCAACACCGAATACCCATCCACGCAAGCCATTCGAGTCGCTGGATAACGGGCAAATAATTGGATTTTCTGGCCCTATGGTGCATGTACTTGCTGGAAGTTGTTACAAGACAGTTTTGCAACTGACCAGACCATATTCTAGACAAGCTGTGTGCCTATCATTGCACAGTATTTCAGAAAACCGCCGAAAGAAAAGGAAGCATTTCTGCTCTTGCCACGATCCCACAAACGGGAGTTTTGCCAACCGTGTGGCAATCTGTCATATGTGTCACTGTGGTCATATCATCCTACCTCTTGTTACGCTACCACCGTTGCTCCTGCCTTCCTTGCCTCGAACGCTGTTGTGGCTTCTCCTTGGCCAATCACTCCGCAGCAGGCCTCGATAAACTGATTGGAAAAACATTATCAAAAAGCCCAACGTCGCTGCACAACATGTCTCAGACAGCTCCAAATCCTATTATTTTCACCACGACGATCAAGCTCCTGAAGTCTCGTTACTGGATGAAGAAAATTCGAAAACAGAAGCAATCGCTATAGGAAGAGGAATCCCCGTCTTTATCGAAACTGGAGCGGGACGGTCCTCGAACCGCACAATCTACCCCCTGTAAACGAAACAAGAGCGAGCGCAGCCGCCGACTCCTCGCCACCTACAAGGCCACGAGCATCTCCGCCTCTGCCGATCAGGCAGCGCTGCAACCGCCTCTACCATCCAGGCAAAGCGCTGCAACTTCGGAAAACACGACCGAGAGGACGACGCAGTTTGAAGACGCCGAACCCGAGCTCGACGTGCAGCCTTTCATCTTCCCTATCTACGAGCACGAGGCCCAGGACTGGTAATCTCCGGTACATCGGGCTACTTCATCAATAAGGTACGGCGCTGACTATCCTATGTTCCATTTCACAATCCTCTCAAAACACCATGGCGCATGCACCTCAGGAAATTCCCTTGCCGGAGGAACTCTTGCATTCGACAGAGCTGTCGCATAATGTGTCAAAAGGCTTGGCAAATCTGTGCGAACCTCTTAACATAACTTCATCATTACCGGTTGTGCCATTTTGAAGGCTTAAATGCTGGAAACTTGTACCAATGGATGGCTGACGTAGATCGCATTCATCAGGATTGCAATGGCAACGATAAAATCACGCTCACCGCGGCAGGACGTCTCGTAACCGGGACAGCAAAATCTTGTTTTTGCGCAACCGAGAGCACAACTGCACGTGGCTCCAAATGAAAGACTTGTTGAGACGCTTTTATTCCAACCTGCGTGACCCCGACATTTTGGAAGAAAAACTAAACCGTACCACTCAAAAATCGAGCGAACCTGTGCAGTCCTTTTATGAGCGCTTAAACCAATTAGCCACCGAAGTGTACGAAAATAACATAAACACCCCAGACAAACAAAAAGCTTTGGCCAAATTATTCATGAACGGACTCGTACACAAACGGATTGCAAACAAACTGCTTCGCCAACAGCCCTTGACTCTGAACGCCGCCTTAGATGTTGCACTCATGGAGGACAAAGTTTACAGGCAAATAGAAA